GCTACGCCATTCTGCTACGGTGCCATGAGAACTGTTGTCTCCATCTTGATCCCATTATTTGCGCAGAAATCTCTGAATCTACGATTTCTGTACTCTTCTCCATTGTCAGACCTCAACCACTTGACTTTCAGACCAATCTCATTTTCCACCATGGCCTTCCATTTTCTTAAGGTATTAAACACATCTGATTTTTTCTTCAGAAAATAAACCCACACCTTCCTTGTAGAATCATCGATGAAGGTGACATAATATAATGAGCCTACAAGAGATGGAACTGGAGATGGTCCCCATACATCAGTATGAACCAACTCTAACTTTTCAACCTTGGGTGTCTTACCAATCTTTGCAAAGCTAACTTTCTTTTGTTTGCCAAAGATGCAATCCTCGCATAGTCCAACATCTACATTCTTTAGATCTGGCAGTTTCCCCTTTGACAAAAGTGTATTCATCCCTTTGTCGCTCATATGGCCAAGCCTTTGGTGCCATAGGTTTGATTTTCCATCAGCATCTGCTACTGCAATGATATTCTCTAAATTTGAGGTTATATAGAGAGTACCAGTTTTCTTACCACGAGCAATGACGAGTGCTCCTTTGGTAATCTTCCATTCACAGCCTGAAAAGGTTATGCTAAATCCTTCACCATCAAGCTGTCCTACAGAAATCAAATTTCTTTTGAGGCCAGGAATATGTCTCACTCCTTTCAGCGTCCAGGTGGTCTGGTTTGACAACTTTAGTCGGATGTCTCCTTTTCCGACGATCTTCAAGGTTTCATCATCAGCTAGATGAACCTTCCTAAAATCACCACTGACATAATTTTCCATGATTTCTCGGCAAGGGTGGAGTGGAAAGATGCCCCTGAATCCAAGATCCATGATTCAATCGGACTGTTGACGCTTAGAATCATGGCATCACCTGTTTCCTCTGTCACGTTGGCAGATTCCTGTGCGTCGGTATTTTTCTTCAGTGCTCGGCAATCTCTTTTAAAGTAACCCTTCTTGCCACAATTATAACAGGTAAAATCTTTCTTTCCCATTCTGGATTTTCCCCGTCTGGATTACGATCTGCCATGATTTGAATTTCTTTCTGAAGTTCTCCATCTGGACTCCGTGTGCAAGGCTGAGGAGGTTGATGCTTCACCCGATTCTCTCCGTCGAATTTTTTCACTCAGTACCAGATCTCGAACATCGTCGAATTTCAATTTACTATTTCCCGATGAGCTGCTAACTACTGTAACAGTAGCATTCCAACTATCTGGTAGAGATGATAAGAGAATTAAAGCTCGAACTTCATCATCGAATTCAATTTCGACTGAACTCAACTGAGTTGTGATTGTGTTGAGTTCATTTAGGTGTTGTGACATCGATGCCCCTTCCGTCATCCGCAAATTGAATAATCGCCTCATCAAGTGCACTTTGTTTGAGGCTGATGGCTTCTCATACATGCTGGAGAGAGCCGCCATAAGACCCGTCGTGGTCTTTTCCTTTGCTATGTTGAAAGCAACGTTGCGGGATAACGTCAGTCGGATAACTCCGAGGGCTTGTCTGTCGAGAAGAGCCCAGTCTTCATTCTTCATGCCTTCTGGTTGCTTTCCTGAGAGAGGTTGATATAGATTTTTCTGTTACAGAAAATCTTCAATCTGCATCTTCTAAAAGTCAAAGTCCGCACCATCGAACTTTTCAATTTTTACCTTCCCTTCGTCTGCAGCCATCGCTCCCACTCGAATCTGGTTTCGTTTGGATTGTTTCTGACAATTCTTGCGAACCACCGTGTATTAGAACACCTCCATCGACAAGCTCGTATCACCGACAAAATTTTTACTATTCAGGAAATTCACTATTCATGTGAATAGTAATGAATAGTAACCTCGCAAAAAAATTGACAAAATTCACAACCAAAAGCTCTGATGCCAGTTGTTGAGAAATAAATCGAGTACGAGTAATTTCCCTATAACCAGATTAGTGAGAATGTGAAATAAAAGCGAAAAAATAATACCCGAAATTGATAACGGAGTTCAGCCAATTGTGCTTATGTCTCCGGACTGCTGCAGATCTTTTACTAAGAGAGAAAATTTACAGGTGTTTACAAAACACTCACTACTCACAAGAAAGCTCTCTAGTATTGGGAGAAAGAAATGATTTTTGGGATGATTATGAAGCTAAATGAGCTAGGGTATTTATAGTTGAAACTTAAGGACTTAATCTTGTAAACACCCTAAAGCCTAGGGATTAATTATGATTATCCCATTATCATTTTTCAACAAACATCTACCAAACTTTGAAAAACTATTTTTCAAAGAAACATTTACCAAACTTTGAAAACCATTTTCAAAGAAACATTTACCAAACTTTGAAAACCATTTTTTCAAAGTTGGTTACCAAACTTGAAAAACCATTTTAATACTTTCAACATGTACTACTTAATAAAAATGGAGTGGTTGAACGCAAGCATAGACACATTCTGGAAGTTGCAAGAGCACTTCATTTTTAATCAAATATCCCCATTCAATTTTGGGTACAGTGCCCTTTCCAATTCTAACATTTTAAATCTCCTTTCCACTATCTAACATTCTAAATCTCCTTTTGAAATGTTGTATAAAAAAGAACATGATCTCCCGCATTTAAGGGTGTTTGGTTGCCTCTGTTATGTAACCAAGACAAACCATCATGATAAATTTTCTTCTAAAGCCATTCATTATATTTTCATGGGATACTCTTCAACTCAAAAAAGGCATATTTTGTTTGATTTTGAGTCTAAAAATTTCTTTATTAGTCGAGATGTTATTTTTTACCAGTTTGTGTTTTCTTTTCGTATTCCCATTGTAGAATCTGGTTCTACATCCATAATTCAGGTTATTCAGGTCAATCTGGTTTAATTGTGTCTAGAAATTCTGCTCAAGTCTCTAAACCTTCAAATTGGTTAAATGATTATGTCTGTATTTACTAGTCTAATTCCCTTCCTAGACAGTATCCTATTACCCAATATATTTCTTATTCATATCTTTCTTCTCATACTCAGCTTTTTTTAACCTCTACTTCTCAACTTGTTGAACCTACCACTTATCAAGAACATTGTAAACATTCACATTGGATACAAAGAATGTAAGAGGAAATTCAAGCACTTAAGTTAACAATACTTGTTCTGTTGTAGCTTTGCCCCCGGTAAAGTGCTAATTGGGTGTAAATGGGTTTATAAAATCAAATATCATTTTTTAGGTGAGGTGGAAAGGTTTAAAGCTAGGTTGGTAGCTAAAGGGTATAATCAACAAGAGGAGATTCATTATGTGTGGACATTTTCTCCAGTATTAAGCTTACCATTATTCGTTTGATTATATGGTGTCGCCTGCAGAAGTGACTTTATGGATTCAAGCAAGCTTCTAAGAATTAGAATAAGAAACATTCTAAAGCACACACAATAGTAGGGTTTCAGCAGAGTAAGCATGACTACTCTATGTTCACAAAACAAGTAGGAGATAAACTGATTCTTGTACTTGTATACGTTGATGATCTACTGATTACTGGGAGTGATGTTGGAATGATAGAGGATTTAAAATATACTTTGTATTCTAGTTTAACATCAAGGATTTGGGAGAATTGTAATATTTTCTTGGACTTGAGGTTTTGAGATCAATGGATGAATAATCTTGAACCAACCTTGGGTAGGGGAAGCAAAGCCTGTTTTGACACCCTTGGAGAAGAATAATAAGCTTTTTACGACAGTTGGTGATGAGAATTTGAAGTATGATGCTAGTGAAGAAGACTTTGTTGATAAGAAAATGTTTCAAAGGTTTATAGGAAGACTTATATATCTAAAACACACCAGGCCTGATATAACATATTCATTGCAGCACTTGAGTCGATTCATGCATCAGCCTAAGAAAGTGCATTTAAAATCAGCCTTGAGAGTTGTTCTATATATAAAAAAGAATCTCGGGCTGGAGATTTTATCCGCTGCATCAAGTATTTATGAGTTGGTTACCTTTTGTGACTCAGATTGGGCTAATTTCCCTTTTACAAGAAGGTCAGTTATAAGTTTTTGTTAAAGATGGGTAACTCCTTGGTATCTTGGAAGTCAAAGAAGCAGAGTACGATTGCATGTTCTTCAGTAAAAATAGAATACAATAGTATGGTTGTGACCATTTAAATAGCGATCGTGTAACATAATAGCGGTCGTTATATCACAGTTGCGGCGGCGACCGAAACAGTTATCTCAAAAAATAGTGGTGTGAAGCGAAGTCACACCATCGCGACCACAATTTAATAGATAGCAGTCAGTCACAGCAATAACAGACCGTTATTCTGCTATTGTTCCGTTATTTCAATTTTAAAAAATCTATTTTTTAAATCAACTCCTTTAGAAAAATTCATAACGGCAATACCCGCAATTACCGCAATAACATTCATTATATCTGCAACCACGATAAACGTAATGCAACCGAAAAACGTAATTATAACCGTAATTTAAATTTCTGGTTGAGACCACATATGAGTTGGTACGGTTGAATGAGATGTTGAATGAGATAGGAGTGCGTCAGAAACAACATGCTAAGTTGTTTTGTGATAGCAAGATAGCACTGTAGATAACTTCTAATGTTATTTCCCATGCAAGAATAAAGTACGAAGAAATCGATTATCACTTTGTTAGGGAAAAGGTTTATCTTAGCAAAATATGTATCTTCAAAGAAGCAGCTTCTAGATGCCTTGACCAAAGTAGTGGAACATTACAACATGAATATTTGAAAGCCGAGTTAGGGGTTGTAGATGTGTTTCTATCAAAGCTAAATCTACCATCATTTAATGATATGGCATACGGCATCCAACAAGAAACAGGAACTTATGGAAAAGGAACTTAAAAATAATAAAATAAAAACATCCGGTGGGTCCCACCCTCAAAAGATTCTTCCTTTGGCCAAATCAGTGAATCACCCACCTTCTTCAAGCAGCTATAAATACAGGCATTTATCGATAGCCACTTCCTCACACCTCAAGCTCTACTTCTCTAATACATCCCTATTTCTTCTCCGCTTCCGGCCCCTCTCTCCATTCAGGAAAATCAGAACAAAAAGCTGAGGTTTGAAGCTCCAATTCCAGCGCTTGCCGTTCTCATATTTCCAATGACAGGATTTTGGTTTCACCATTTTTGGCTGCGTCGCCTGTACATCAAGGTCAATTATCTTTCTCTCTCACTTTAGTTTCAATGGTTTTCGTAAGCCGTAAAATTCAACTCTTTTTACTTCAAGAAAGTTCAGTTCAACTCTTTTTACTTACATATTAGATGTTCTTGTAAAATTAGACCTGTGATTTTGAGTCTTGAAAGCGTGCTTGTGGAAACAGGGTCGTGGCCCGAGAGCTATGAGGGCTAGATTGGGAAGGGAGCGAAAGGTTAATCGGCGTGTGATGCAGTCGCTGATAGCGTCACGAGTTGCAGCTGCCGAGATGGAGGAGCAAATCCGGAGGATCAGACAAGTGATGGAGCTACAGTTTCAAGCCAATATCCTTGATGATCTGTGGGTTCTTGATTGTCTCTTTGAGGTTGAAAATGACCCTCGGATTAGGAACATCCTCGGTTTGAACCGAGCTCGTACGTTTACAGGACCGCGGCGCCGTCCCGGACCACCATGAGAGTTTAAATGTCGGGACTTCTGTGGAGGTGGTGATGGATAGGCCCAAGATTTTTGGTGGTCCTCAGACTAACCAAAAAATTAGGCTCTTAAGGGATTCAAATAACAATAAGCTTAGCATTTGTAAATCAGATCGTGTTGCATTTATCGTAATTACGAACATCATGAATGATATTATAGTCCTGCAATATCATTTATGATGTGGACATAGTACTGTATATATCACGATTTCAGACGATATCATTATCATTGTATAACTGTTATTATTATGGTTACGTATCATTATTTAAGTAATTGTTCCTAATAACAAGTGTTAAAAATAAATAAATTTTAAAGACAACTCCATAATAATAAGTATTGGAAAAAATAGATCTCTAATAACAAATATTAAAAAAAAAATTTTTAAGAATATGCTCATAATAAAAAAATATTGAAAAAATGGACCTCTAATAAAAAGTATTGAAAAAATTATACTCATAATAACAAATAAATTATAGAAAATAAATTGAATTTAAAAAATATGTTGCTAACAACAAATATTAAAAAAATTGGGCCCATGATAATAAATATTGAAAAGATTGGACCTTTAATGAAAATTATTAGAAAAAAATATTGGCAAATTAAAAATTAGACATTTATACAAATATTAAAAATAAATAAATATAAGAGTATACCTCTAATAATAAATATAAGAAAAAATATTAAGACCGTAATAATAAAGTTTCTCAATCAAGACTGAGAGAGGGGATCAAAACTTTTATTCTCCTTCACCATCCAATACTTTTCTACCTCATTGAGATAGAGGACTTCTACATCGCTTGAACACCGACTCCAACTCTCTATCCAAACCAGAAGATATAAACCGCCTATAATCGTCGTGATCCACTTGTTCCTATCAACAAAACCCATCATTCAATATTAATACTAAAGGGTTGAGTACTGATTCTGAGCCTCTAGAAATGAGAAACTTGTCCTTTCTAGTGTCTTAAATGATTGCTAATTGATATTGAAGCATGTATAAGTGATATGCTATGCAAAATAGTACTCAAATATTGACGCAAGCGAAAATGAAGTTTGATACAAAATCACCGAACTTATAAGTTTCTCGATACGGACCTCCGGTTGTATAATTAAAACATACATTTCTAACTCTATTAACTTTCCAGTATTCTGGCCCTCCACTTGGCAGAACCGTTTTGGCAAATTCCTTTGGCACATTGTCAAACTCCATAATTTCTAAGGCATTCCAAGTTGCCAATGTTTGTGGGAACCTCCTGCATCAGTGGACTGGCCCTATTCCAAGCGTCTCCAAGCAAGGTAAAGATCCTCCATCCATTACCACTGTCTCCAATTTGTACAAACAATAAAGTCCAAGGCGTTTCAGTTTTTGGAACTTTCCTTGTTCGAAGTGCAATTCAGCTCCATTATAACCTTCAAAAAGCCAGAACTCTAATAGCTTTGGCAAATCTCCAAGGATTTTAAGCGAATCATCTGATATTCTAGACCAGTGTAAACTAATTTGAAAGGTTCTCCAGTTCAGAAATCCAACCAGGCAGCGTCATTAGTCGTCCGTGCAGGCAAAGACGTTGAAGGGATGGAGGAGGAGACATTGATTCCAGTTCAAGAACTTCGTTTTCTTTCTCTGCCGAAATACGCAATGCATACAGGTGGTGCATCTGCTTTATAGCACTACACAAAGCTTCCCCGCAATCTGATTTTAGTATAGTTATTCCCGGTTTCCTCAGCCTCTTTAACCTTCTCAATTCTCTACCGAAATGCTCACCATATTGCGATGGGAAGTCCACATAAAAAAGCTTTTCTAATGACTCTAAGCTCCCGATAACACTGCCATTGATCCTTATGCCTTGGTCGGTGTTGATACTGTAAGTTCTATACTGATCAATCAAGCTCGCTCCATAATACTGTAACTTACACAGATATCTTATCTCATTTGGGATCTCAACCACTAAAGAAACTTTCTAGTCCAAAGTCAGCAGGTTAAGCAATTTTCCTATGGACTTGGGAAGCATCTTTATTTTTGAATACCTTAAGCTTAGATATCTCAAATGCCACAAATTCCCTATCTCCTCGTTGAGGTAGTCAAATGGGGCATTTTCAAAATCTATTTCTCTCAAAAGTTTGAAGTTTAAGGACAGTCTCTCAAACACAGGATCATGAAACTCTTGTAAATTGAAAAAGATAATAGAATGAATTTGAAAGTCACCATTTCTCCTTGACAGATCACATGCTCTGTTATTGTCGATCAAGAGATATCGACCAGAAGTGTTGAAACTTGGCTGTGAGGAATGAATCAAGTTTAGTTCTTATAATTTGGAAAGAATAACTTCGTGGATCAAATCATGGGCTCGACATGATCTAGCTCCTCCTGTGGAGTCGCTACATTCAACTTGAACTAAGCTTCTGTTTATTTGCCTAGTTAAGTATGCTTTTGCAGTTTCTTCCAATGTCATTTCTTGATTCTCTTTTAAAAGACCCTCTGCAATCCATAATCGAATCAGTTTATTGACTCGAATGTGATGACTATGCGGGAACACGCCCACATATAAGAAACAAGATTTCAGGTAAGGAGGCAAATCGTGATAGCTGATGGATAGTATTGTTTTGACATGTGCAAGATGTGGATTGCTCTTTAGTTGTCTACTGAGCTCATTGCACAACCTTGTCCACTCGAAGACATCCTTGCCCTTGGTTAAAAGAAGCCCTCCAATGGCGTCGATTACGAGTGGCAATCCATCACACTTTCTGGAAATGTCGAAAGATACCTTTAAATTATTGGGACATTCCTTCTGTTGATCGAACCTGAAGGCTTTTCTGCATAGAAGCTCTTGGGCCATTTATAGAGATAAACGTAGCAAATTATGAACATGAACAAGGCAACATTGGCTGCAAATTTCAAAAACACTGGGGCTTCTTGTGGTGATTATAATTCTACTGCCATTGTTATTTTCTGGCAAAGCAGATTGAATAACATGCCAAAAGTCATCATCCCAGGCGTCATCAAATACTATAACATACCCCTTGTATTGCAAATATTCTCTGGATTTGCTGATCAGTTCCTTGACGTCTATTACATAGTTAATTCCAATAGGAGGGAGATCGTTCTTTGCTTCATGGAATCGTCTGATCATGGTCCGAAGCAGCTCCACCATGATGTTTGATTGTGACACTGATCCAAGCATGACAATCAAAACGTTCTTTAACGTCATCATAAATCTTCTTAGCAAGAGTAGTCTTTCCGAGACCTCCCATACCCACAAGTGAAATCCCTGTGCGCATGGATTCTCCCTCATTCAGTCTTCTAACTAGCTCGTCTCTAGAAGCTTCGATTCCGGCAAGCAGATCACTATCGACGAAATGAAGGCCGGCTCAAGGGTCGACATGTCCTGTGCTTAATCCCCCTTGGTCACTGACATGGATGTCAAGCCTTCTTCTCTTTTCATCAATTTCATGAATTGATCGTTAGAGGTCTTGAATTTTTGGCATCATCTCACGCTCTTTCGTCAAACTCCTGATGCGGCCAGCTATCTTTTTCAGAAAAGACTTGAAACCATGTTGATCGTTGTGTTTTGCGGCACAGAGCATGTATTCATCGTCTCATCGATGAGATCCTCTATGCCATAAGCTGCTTCCCTCACATATTTCACCCATATTTTTACACCTTCATTGCTTTCTTCTGTGGCAGCCCTAGCATCTGCATCTCTTAGGAAAGAGGAGATGAACTCAAGCTTTATGTCTGCAACTTCCGTATGAAATTCTCTCAGCAGCTGAGCCTCCTCTTTGAGAAATTCAATCAACCACTCAAGCACCAAGTTCACAGCTACCTCCGCCATTTCCACTAGAATTCAATGGCACACAGAAAATAGACGAAGTCCAATCATTTGCAGTAGGATAAATTACGTGTTCCGGGACGGAGCTATGTAGGAGCTTGGAGTGGCCCCCCAAATTTATTTATCATTAAAGAATTTAGGGACAATTACCTATATTCTATTATTAGTTATACTTTCGTCTATGTACATGTTTAGTACCTAAATTATTAATATTTATCTATTTTAGTATCTAAACTTTAAATTTTTTTAAAATCATACTTAATGTTTAGTTTTTGTTTCATTTTAATATCTCGTCGTTAAAAACTTGATGGGTAATTTGCATGTGACACCTTTTTATGGATAAATTGTATCATTCATCACTCAACTATCTTCTCACTCCTATTTTGATCACTAAAGTTTAATTTATTTTAATTAAACTACTTAACTTTCAAATTACTCCTAATTTAATCACTCTAACTTTCAAATTAATTTTTAATTTTTAATTTTTAATTATATATCAATAAAATAATAATAATAAATGTCATGTCACAAATATAATTAATAAAATAAATTAGAGTTATTAAAATATGAGCAATTTGAAAGTTGAGTAGTTAAATTGAAAATTTTTATAATTTAGTACCGAAATAGGAGTGAGAAGACAGTTGAGTGATGAATTGTTAAATTTACCCATAAAAAATATAGCGTCGTTAAGTTTTTAATGGTGATGTACTAAAATGAAACAAAAACTAAACGTTAAGTATGATTTTGAAAAACAAATTGAAAGATTAGGCACTAAAACGATCAAAACTGATAGTTTAGGTACTAAACGTATAATTTACCCTACTTTATATCTAATTTAAAAGATACTAATTATACATTTATAATTAATTGATTCTAGAACTCAAGAATTAAAAGTAAAAAATCAATGCTGCCTGGGTCGTTGGGGTTTGGACAGTTGGGTTTGGGTAAAATTTTCTAAAAACCCAGATTTTTTTTTTCATATTTTAGAATAACTTGAAATTTAAATTTCATCAATCTGTATCCAATCCAATTATCTACTTTTTAGGTATTTTATTTGAATTGTTTGAATATTTTTATTAAAAACGGAATGAATATCTGAATTTTTGGCTCGGATAAATAAGGTTAGATTTTCTTGCCCACCTTTATTGTAGGATGTGTTTTGTGATCAATGGTTAAAAAAGATTATGAATATATATTACCTTATAATTATCATATATTTTTCAAAAATAATAATTAATTGATTGTAGAGTAAAATATACAAATAGTCCCTTCTATTTTCGGTTTGGTCAACTTTGGTCACCAATTTAAAAATTAAAGGGAAATGGTCTTTAACGTTATCGATTCTTTCAATTTTAGTCTCTAATGTTATCGATTCATTCGATTTTAGTCCATCGGCTGTTAAATCCTGTTTAATTTTTGTCCCTCAACCATGTTAAGAACTTAAGCAAAAGGGACTTAAACAAAAGGTGCTAATAGAAATTAATAACAGAGAGACTTAAACTTGACGGGCCAATAATGTGAGGGACCATTTACCTTTAATTTTTAAATTGGTGACCAAAATCGATCAGACCCTAAATAAAAGGGACTATTCGCATAGTTTACCCTTGATTGTATTATCGGCCAAACTGATAATATTTATTCATAATTTTATACTTAATTGGTGACCACAACAATCGTGATGTGGTTCCCTAATCGCGTTACGCAATATTGCATTACGGTAACCTTCAAAAACGTTACGATGAGGGCGTTACGCACAGTGCATGTTATCATCGATGACATCCTCTATGCCATAAGCTGCTTCCCTTACATGCTTCACCCATGTCTTTACACCTTCACTGCTTTCTTCTGAGGCAAACCTAGCATCTGCATCTCTTAAGAAAGAGGAGATGAACTCAAGCTCAAACTTTATGTCTGCAACTTCTGTGTGAAAATCTATCAGCAGTTGCGCCTCTTCTCTGAGAAAAGAAATCAACCTCTCAAGCACCAAGTTCACAGCTACCCCGCCATTTCCGCTAGAATTCGATGGATCAAAGAAGTCCAACTCTTTATAAAAGAAGTTATACGAAGTCCATATCATAATTGACTTTCTATCACTGTTCTTTTATTATTATTAGAGCTGGTAGGTTAAATTCATAAATGATTTATAACACAAAAAAATTCTAATTAGGCTGTATTCATATGATTTTGAAATTAAAAATGAATGGATTAAAGTAACATTTTTTAATATATTTTTCCCTTTGCTTGACCCTATTTGCAAGATCTTCCCACGTTAAAGAACAAGACAGCTGCAACCACTTGTTTTTTTTAAAACAACCCATGTTAGGACTGTGATCTTAAGATTTAACTATGATTAAATTAAATAATTAATATTAACCATTGAATGAAGTGAAGATGACAATAGTTTAATGTAAAGCTTGTCATAGTTAGAAATTTGAAGCTACTCTATAGAAAGGGGTGTCTGACACTTTCAATTTTTTTAATCTTTTATAAAAATACATTTACAAGATTTTAAGAAATGATATAATATGAATGAATCAATTTACCTAAGTGGTTAAAGGTATCGTTGTTATTCCTATAGGTTATGGGTTTGAGCACCAGCGACTGCAAAGGTAATTGAGTGTTCATTATCAAATGGTTGGGAGTATTTATAATATATATTAATTTGTAATCACATTAGCTTAATAAAAAGATCTCAGGTTTGAGTATCACGTATACATGGATGTACGAGCATTCAATATTAAATAATTAAAATTCTTTAAATAAATTTTAATTTGATTTCATCTCAATATATGTGTACTCTATCTAGATATATTTTAAACAATAATATTATCATACTTTATAATTATTCAATTGTATATTATGTATATCTATAATTATGTTTGTAATTGAATCATATATGATAAAAAAATACTCCAGAACAAGCATATGTTATGTTTAGATTTTGTAACTAATTAAACATTAGTGTTTAATTTTTTTAAAATTATAGTAAATACATAAATTATTAAATATGACAAAATTTTAACTTCAATAAAATATTAAACTATTGTGATATATTAATAATATGTATATCTATATTTTGTATTTGTTAATATTTGGCGTTCATATTATATTCAAAATTATCATATTTCCGCATTCTAATTTCTAATATAGAGGTTAATCTCCATTTTACCCTTTAGATTGAAGTCAACTTCTATATTCGTCCCCTAATATTTAATTGTCCTTTCAAATGATTATTTTATTGTTAAATATATCAGCTGTTTGGTTTAGAATTAAATAAAAAATTATATTCTCTAATAGGTGAGAGGTATTTAATTTTATATTTTAATTATATAGAAGGTTCAATTATATATTTAGTCCCTGAATTTATAAATCCTTCTGACAGTGGCCTTTGAACTTTTATTCCATAATTAATTTTTGAACTTGCATTTCATTCAATATATTAGACATTCTTTGTAAAGATATTAAGTAAGTGATGACGTGATATTATGAGATTATATATCACTTTTTCATCTTAAAACTTAAAATTATATAATTAGTTTAAAACAATATTTACATAAAAATTTAAAATAATATATAATCTAAAAAAAAGCCTATTTTCAATCAACAGATTGTTTCTTTGGCATGAAAAACTTTACTAGATCAAAGTTCGGTCAATATACAAATCAAATGATCTTGAATCGAGTTTTTAATGAGTCGAATCGAGCTACTTGATATCCAACTCAAAAAATTTGTGAGTACTCGAAAATATAATATATTAATATTTTAATTTATTAAATTAAATTATTAATAATATTAACATTCATATGTTATATTTTTATTAAAATATAACATAATATAATATAAGGTTTTCATGTACTTAAGGTTCAAGTTTGAACTCGAGTTCAAAGTGAACTCTAGTTGAGCTTCAATCAAGTGTTGAAAAATAGACTGTTGTAAAACGAATGCGTTAGCAATGACTGAATAATATTAAATAAAATAACAAAATGGAACGATAAATGTGCCGAGGTAATCCATTACCTTAGAAGCGAATTTTTCTCAATGTGAGTAATTATTACAATGGGCAAATGACCCTTGAGATTAGCACGGTTCTCCAATTTTCGTATACCCAAAATATGAATAAACATTAGTGGTGGTGCTCTTCTTTCAAAACTCAGAAAAGATTATGAAAAACACTAAAAGAAATTATAGTGTTTTAAAACAAATAATTTTTTTGCTTGGATCATCTCAAATGAAAAGCATTACTCACTATTTATAAGTTGAATAGTAAGGGTAAAAACGTCATTCAATTCAATAGCATTAAAATGCTATTTAACATAGAATTAAACACCATTAAAAATGTTTTAGTAATTGTTAGCATTAACAACACTGAGTTAAGTGTGGGAATATTTTTGAGTTTACAATTTTTCGAGTTTGAGTCGAGCTTTAATTTTTTATTTCGAGTCAAGCTTTAAAATTTTAAGTTCACGAGCTTTTAAGTCAAGTCGAACTTCCATTTTTTATTTCAAATTTGAATCAAACTTGATAATTTTAATCTTGCAAACTTTCGAGTCGAGAGCTTTAATAACTATAGTTCATGGTTTAAGCTATAACTTTCTTTTTGAAGGTGTTTAGGTTTGGGCAGACCAGCAGAGTTTTGATTATAATAATTTTCTAGTCATAGACCCGATTCAACCATCCAAATTTAACTATTTTATTTTAAAAACTATATTATTAAAGAAATATTTTTATATATTTTATAATTAAAATTAAATAAAATATATATTAGAACATTGCCAACTTACATGTTAATAACTTTTATTAAATATAGTCCGAGTTAAATTGAATATATCACTCAGCTCATAAATAAGTCTACTAGGAAAGCAACATATTACTTTATAGGGTAAATTACGTGTTCTGGGACGGAGCTATGTAGGAGCTTGTCCCCCCAAATTTTTTTTATCATTAAAGAATATAGGGACAAATACACATCTAGGCCTTTAAATTTTGATTTATTTTGATTTTGTTCTCCTATTTTCTATTATTAATTATACTTTGTCCTCTTGAACTAAAATCTTGGCTTCCTCTCTGTACATGTTTACTACTTAAACTATCAATTTTTATCCGTTTTTACCTAAACTTTCAAGTTTTTCAAAATCATACATAATGTTTAATTTTTGTTTCGTTTTAGTACTTCGTCGTTAAAAACTTGACGAGTAATTTGCACGTGGCATCTTTTTTATGAGTAAATTGCATCATTCATCACTCAACTATCTTCTCACTCATATTTTGGTCATTAAAGTTTAATTTATTTTACTTTAATTACTTAACTTTCAAATTACTCCTATTTTAATCACTCTAACTTTCAAATTTATTTTTTATTTTTAATTATATATTAATAAAATAATAATAATAAATGTCATGCCACAAAAATTATTAATAATAAATTATAGTGATTAAAATAGGAGCAATTTGAAAGTTGAGTAGTTAAATTGAAAATCTTTATACTTTAGTACCAAAATAAGAGTAAGAAAATAGTTGAGTGATGAATATTTACCCATAAAAAATTTAGTGTCGTTAAGATTTTAATGGTGATGTACTAAAATGAAACAAAAACTAAACGTTAGGTATGATTTTGAAAAAAAAATTGAAAGTTTAAGTACTAAAACGATCAAAATTGATACTTTAGGCACTAAACGTATAATTTACCGTACTTTATATCTAATTTAAAAGATATTAATTATACATTTGTAATTAATTGATTCTAGAACTCAACAAGTAGTCTCATTTGAGGACTTGAAAAATAAATAATTTAAAAGTACGGTAAATTATACGACAATTACCAGACAGACTGATAATATGAGGGATTATTTACCCTTAATTTTTAAATTAGTGACCAAAATTGGTCCGACCCTAAATAAAAGGGATTATTCGCATAGTTTACCCTTGATTGTATTAGGTCCTTTGTTGATTCAATTTGGAACATCAACATTTTTTGTTTCCTTTGAAATCAAGATTCCCAAGTCAAGGTTTTGGAAAAAGAAATTAAAAATAATAAAATAAGAGAGCGGTAATTGTCGTGTGCTTTCAAACCGAAGTATGTGGTCGGTCCCACCCTCAAAAGCTTCTTCCTAAAATCTGCTATAAATACATACATTTATCTATAGCCACTTCCTCACACCTCAAACTCTATCTCTCTTCAATACATCCCAATTTCTTATCCACTTTCGTCATGTATATACACATATGTATATATCCAGGACGCTCTGCACTTTGGTGCTGAATTGTATCAATTTCTCTCTGACCTGGAGATTACTAGAACCAGGTGAGAAACAGATTGATACGGTTGAGTACCAAGAATCATCATTAACTGCTGTGATTTCTATTTATAAGTTTTAGTCTATGTTCATCTATATTTATATGTATATGTAGCTGAAAGCTATAGTATTTGTCCAGGAGGTGGTGTTTTGCAGGTTTCATATATCAATATGGTACAGAGGATTCCAACCTTTGCTATGGTTTGACCTTGACTGTAAGTTCATATATACCAAGTGACAATAGCTGGGATGTCAAAAGGTTGCCTGGATATTGACAAATCATGACTTGAAGTTTCATCTATTCAACATACTGCTCTATATCCATTCCAGGTTTAATGTCTGAAAGATATAATCAATTATGTCTACAAAAAACCCTGTGTATATCTTTTTGTTTCCTGCAAAAGGAAAACGTGAAGTTGTTAAAACAAACAAAAACATTGATGGGAAATTAAAAGCTAAACAGAAAGGAGAATGTTGTATTGACAAACAGGCAAGTTTACCAGAAAGAGATTCAGTAGCTGGCAATTTACAGAATCCACTATGTTTAGTCCTATAGAATTGGTGCTTTTGCAAAGGATTGCAATCAGATTCAAACCCTGCACAATTTGATTTAAATGGTTAATACACTCATTAATGAAAGAAAACGAGATTCAAATTTGTTCATTTACAACTAATCTTTTTTATATCAAAAATAAAGAGGATGAACGTAGCTTGTTTTTCTTACTGTTCATGAGTATGATGGATTGATTTGTATTGATATGATAGAAAACAATCAGAGTGTGAATATATGCTATAATCTAATGGCTTTGGGTGTAGTTGTTGGTTGTTGATGATTGAGAAAATGGCAAGCGCCTCATGGTCAAGACTCGTGATAAAACTCGCACGGTTTTTGGTGGATTCGTGTTGGCAATCGTGCAATGAGCTCGTGACGGCGACCTAAAGTGGTGCTCTATTTGTCTTGACACGCAGTGTCGTTGTCAGAACTGTCCCGCGTTGGTGTATACTAGTGATCTATTGTGCGATGAGCGCGCGTCCTTGCGATGAACCGGGTTGTGATCGCGCGATGTGGCATTATTGTGTGGTCTGTTTGTCATTAGTCGCCGTCAGAACTCGCACGGTTTTGGAGGGTTTTCGCTATCAACAGTACGACGCTCGCGCAATCTCGGCAATTTATGGGAAAGAGTGTATGGTTTGAAATTGTCATCCTCTTAATTCAATATTTTACTTATTTTTAAAAATATTTTATATTTTACCAATAGGATTCATCCAAGTTGTAAATAGTTGAATATCGCTTAAACAGTTTCGAGTTTAAATTATTGTTTATGTAGATATAGTCACTCATTTTTATCCGAGGTTTTATATACATATAACGTATATAATATATAGTTTTAAAAAAATATTTTTTAAATATATAATATATAGTTTTAAAAATATTTTTAGAAAATATATATAATATATAATTTTGAAAACAATTTTCAAATATATATATAATATATAGTTTTGAAAATATTTTTCGAGAATATATATAATATATAGTTTTGAAAATATTTTTGAAAATATATATAATATATAGTTTTGAAAACATTTTTCGAATATATATATAATATATTGTTTTGAAAAGCATATATAATATTAGTTTTTTTAAAAAAATATTTTTGAGAACACATTTTATATTATAGTTTTTCATTTACATTATTATTTATTTCTTTTTTATTTATTTATTTTGTTTACATTATAAGGGGCCTGATTCAACCCTAACTCGATTAGGGTTTTTCAGTCTAATAATGGCGTCGTATATGCGGCGCGTGAAAGCCACCCGTGAAGCGTGGAGATCGGAGGACAACAATCGGACGAGAATGGGATTGAACCATCCCTAAAATCCTAACCAAACGACATGTACGAGAAAATCAAAACGAGTAACCCACGAATTTCGTCCCGTTCGGGACTCAAAACGATCAAAATCGGGGCAATAAAAAGCCTCCGGCGAGGCCAAGCAACACACACAATGAGCAATCGAAAGGCATCCAAACAACCAAAATCACAAGCAAAATACGAAGCAAAGTATAGCAAGCAAAAAAACCCAAACATCCAAAGTTACACAAACAAAACAACAAAGCATCCATTGCAAAATCAAGAAACAAGGAGAGAAGATTTGGAGGCGCGAAGGAAAGCACCACTGCAAGAAACGAGAACCCCGGAATACGGAAGGTCAATAGGTAAAAATCGAACATTTCACCTTAGATTTATGTCATTTATGGGATTTGGGGAACGAGAACGCCGAAATACTGAAGGTCAATGGGTAAAAATCGAACCTTTCACCTTAAATTTATGTTGTTTAGGGGATTTAGGGTTCTATTTCAACGTTGAGTAGTGTGGAGAACATTTTAGGGTAATTTGGGTTTTTTGGCCACCGATGGTGGTGGCCGGAGCGGCAACGGAGCTACATCGGTGAGGGGTCGACTGTTCGATTAATTAGGGAAAGGGGGAGAGAATGTAAAAAATGGGAGAGCTCGATTGGAAGTGAGGAAGTGAGAAATGAGAGAATGATATTTTTGTGTGTTTTGAGGTATTTTATAGGGGGCCATTGTGAAATTATAAAATAGTTAAATTATTTTCGCAGTCCCTATACTTTTGATGTATAATTCATTTTGGTTACCTATCTAAATTTTGCCTCTGAATTTTCAATTAATTCGATTTAATCACTATTTATAATTTATGTTTTGTTTACAATTTAACCCCTGTAACTTTTATTTTTTTCGTTGCAGCACATCTTTACTATTAATTTGGTCCCCCAACTTTAATTTGTTTCAATTTAATCTTTTACTTTTTTTCTCTCTTTAATTTTTTAAAACTTTTTTAAAACCTTTTGACCTTTTTAATTTTGTGAATAATTTATACATTTTATTTCACAGTCTAATACTTTTTTTATTTTTTAAGGGTAATTCTAATCGATCAAAGGAAAGTAGATCGAATCGAATTTTTGAATTCTAATTTAACTTTTAATTTTCAAAATTAAGAGAACCAAGAAATTAAATTAGTACCGAAAGGGCAGTACAAGGGTGCTAATCTTTCCTTGATTGTAACTGACTCCCGAACCCGACATATTTATGATAAAACGCAGATCATGTAAGATGGTCAATTGAGGTGTTTGATCAACCTAATTATTTTGAAAAAAAATATAAATGATCAGTGGCGAATCTTGCATGTTTAATTTAAGTCAAAGCCCAATTTTGGGCTCACCTGAAGGACGGTTACGATAACTTGGCGACTCTGCTGGGGACAGGTAAGTTAGTCAGGCTAAAATTAATTTTCAGTTGTCTTCTTAAGCGAAAATCATAAGTATAAATTCTAATTTATTTATATGATCCTTATTATTTATCTTTGATTTTTTTAAATAAATAGTTGTACTGATGTTTTTCTCAATGATTTCAGCTTTTTAAAATTTGTCTCAAGCTCTAAACCCGAGCTCCAAACTCTCTTATAAGTGAAGGTGAAAACGACACCTTTGTGAGAATTTATTCTCCGTATAGGCCTAGCAAGTAACCTTCAGGATTCATATACCTTATGTGTTCGTGTGAATTTATTCTCTGTATAGACATAAGAGAATGTGTCCTCTCGAGTTTAACTTGGTCCACATAAGCTTGTAATGGGTTTAGAACTGAGGGTCTGACAAGCCCAAGAGGGCACCAACAAGGAGAACTCGGGTACCCTTTTTAGAACCTAAACCGGGATATTACATGGAATTAAAAACCCACCCCGAAACTCCATTTCAAAACCTAAGATGCTTGAGTTATTTCTTGTTTTATTTACTGTTCAAAGCATGCGAACTAGAAAATATGTGGTTAGGACTTGCTCAAAATTAAGCCAACATGCGAGATATAAATAATGTATGGGTAAGAATTAAAGCATGTGTGTTAGATATCCTGTGTGATTTTTTTTACTTTTCAGTATTATTTTGATTATTATCTTATTGACTTGTTTCCCTTTCATTTTTTGTTTTCTCTTATTTTATCATTTGCATCATAAAAAAAGGTGTTGATCCGCAAAGAGTGTTTGTTAAACACAAATAATTTGTATTAATGGACAAAGGGGTTCTAATGCAAAAGATGAAAAATACAGAGGTCTGACTATGATCAGAGAAGACTCAGAAGGAAAAGGGAGATAGTCTGCAAGAAAACTATGTTTCAGATATGGTTGGTTATGCTTCTGTTAGCCTTAAGCATAATGATATTCAAGAACTACGGAGCATTTGGGACAGTTGGAAAAGCGACAAGAAACGGAGATTCTGCCAGCGATATGCTGATATCACACTTATACTCTATGTCAAGATAGATGAGCCCCTAATTCGAGCCTTAGTACAATTCTGGAACCTAGGGTATAGTTGTTTCACATTTAATCAAGAAGACACGATACCCACAATCGAATAATATACTGCTTTGTTGCATTGTGAAAGAATCAAATGGACCGGGTCTACACCAAGTTCATCAAAAGTCAGCCTTTCAAGAATGTGTTGGCAAAGGTTACAGGGGTAGATGAAAAATGGGTAATCGACCGGACTCAGCACAAAGGTAAAGGAGAAGGAATTGCTTGGACCCACATTAAGCAATTAATGAAGAATCATCCTGATGAATGGAATGTGATTGATCTATTCACCTTGGGTATCTACGACTTAGTTATTTTCCCAAAAACTTTGGGATACATCGAGGTGGCTGTGGTGGAACTGTTTGAACAACTTTCGAAGCGAGTGAACCCGGTATTGGTAATATTAGCTGAAACTTTCTATTCACTCAACCATTGCAGAAAGACTGGCGGAGGAAGATTTATAGGATGCACACATCTTCTTCAGGTCTGGATCCGTCGTCATTTTTAAAAGACTGATGGGATCTCTTACTAACGATTCAGTACCATATACTCTCATTTGGGGGATTTTCTTACACTAAAATGGCAAGAATGCATCCTAAAAGAGAAATGGCTGAAAGTTTTCACGCATCTTCAGGATAAGAACATTACCTGGAGAAACCCTTGGTTAACTCATAGTGACATCCTTATCGGTGTGGAGACTCAGAAACCATAACGTTACTTGGATTATAGGGAGGAGTAGGATATTCTCCACTTCTGGCACTTTGGCAGTATGGGGCAATCCAGTTTGTCCCAACTACACATGGAATAGGTGGGTCAGAATTTGCATAACATGAGGATAACTACAAGAAGAGGGTCAAAAATGTAGTTGAATCATGGAAGAAGATGTTGGATGTCATGGCTGTTAAAGACATGCTTACTTTTGACTATTTGGAATGTGAAGGGTAAGAAAGAATGACATCGTTCTTGTGCTAGAGCATGAAGATACTCAGACAATGGAAGAACATCTTAAATCAGTTCCCTCCGAACTAGAGATAGCAAAGAAAGAATTCAAAGCTGAAAATGAGGAACTGAAATGAAGGCTAAGCGAACACGAGGCTAAAAGATTTCAGTGGAAGTTAGATGCTGATACTCAGAAGGATCAAGCATACATATTAGAAAAAGAACAAAAGAAAGTCTATTTTGAACTAGAAGATTTTAGAAAGGGTTATCAGGAGCAAGTCTAGAACAATTCTAACCTGAACTAGATGAAAAAAAGACATTGAAATAACAGCTAAAGACCTCCCAAAGATGTTTGTTAGAGAACCAACACCAGAATAAATGTCTAAAGATCAAGGTAGCTGATCTGGATAAGTCTCTTCAAAGACAACAAGAACATGATGAAAAAAACTATAGCTGAGTTAGAGACCATTGTGGACGGGTTAAAAAAAGAAAATAAGCTTCAGATAGTTCCCTTTGATGGAGGATTTTAATGGCATTTTTGTTGGGCTCAACAAAGGTTGAAAGCTAGAGATGCGGTCATTCGAGATTTCTTGGAACAAGTACAAAAAATAGCTCGTCATTTGCATGGTTTAGTGAGAGAAGTTGGAGTGGTCCGACAAGGTATTCAACTGGTGACAAATGAAGGAAGAAGACTTATCAACCTGTTAGAAGTTGTTTGGGGTCTAGAGGACTTAGTCAAAATGTACATTTAAGATGTTTTCGTCTTTTAAGAAATAAAATATTTTTCTAAATAAGGATTAATTATAGTACATACGTGTTTTTGGATCAATGCCTCAAACATTTCATGCATCATGTATTTCTACATATTTTACATATTTTATTTTTTTTCCA